AAATTAAAAGTATCATGACAAACATTGCGAATTTCAAAGAAAAATTTACATAAATATATTATATTAAAAAATTATTTACCATTTATAGTAATAATATATTTTTTTTACTTGATCTCACTTTTTATATATTTATAATATAATTTTAATACATATTACAAAGAACAATTTATTATTCACATATAATACAAATTTTATTGTTGGATAATACATTTATTCTACATTTTAATACAGTTAATACAATGTGTCTATTTCTTACCAACCAACATAAATATTTTTAAAAAATAGTTATAATACATATATATTGAATACATAATTCACTTTTAATATAGATTGCATATTTAACATATTATTGCAATGTACTACTATAAATGGTAATAAATAAAAAGTATCGCTAAAATTAGTAATTATTTATTAAAGGGTAGTCATCCAAGTAATTTTCCAATTTGAAAAAACGATGATCCTGCACCTGCTTCCCTTTTTTAGTGTTTTTATAAAAAAAGATCTTTCACATGTATCCACTCAAAAATAGTCTAATTACGCTTCATAGCTATTTGCTAATTAAGATTCATAGCCATATGTTATAGGGATGAGAGTGACGAGTGAGATTGGGAAAGGGAGGAGAGATGTGAGCGAGAAAAGGCAGAGAGTGGGGAGACAAGTGAATTGTATATGTATATTGGTTAGATAATTGTATGTTATACATATATACATATGTATTTGTATATTCTAGCGAGCGAAATTCGGAGATGTCGGAGAGAGGCGAGCGAAATTGGAAGAGGGTGGAGAGAGACAAGCGAGATTTGGCGAGGGAGGAGAGACGCGAGCGAGAGAGGGGCAATAACTCTATATTCACTAGTACATTTGTATAATAAAGTAATACAAAGTCTTGAATTGTACAAATATGGTAAAACTCAAAATAACAAATTGATACAAACATATATATATTAACTTTAAACAATTATACAAACTGTACATTATATAAATTATATTATAAAATCCGAGAACTACATGTTTATACAAACTTTAAAAAGTCATAAACAAAAAAATTGAATATATATGATAACAAATTAAATTGAAAAATTAAAGGAAATCATCGTCATATACAAATACAAATTATCGTATACAATTATAAATCAAATGAAGAATTGTTAGTTGTGAACTATACAAATATGGTGCGAATTGTACAAACGTAACTAATTATATAAACTCAAAGTTAGCCCACATAACTAGTGATTAGTGTTAGTCGCAAGTCATAGTTATAACAAATTATAGTTATAATAAATAATTAAATAATAATATAAATTTACTTAATCGCGTAAGTTTTTTCTTTTATAAATGTCAACTAATTAGGTAAGGAAATTAGTCCCACATGTTCAATCATTTAATAACTGAATAAAGATTCAGACAAGTATAATTAGGTCAAGTACTGTTCAATAACCTTATAGATTCATGTCATGTGTACTATATAGAAATTTATAGTTGAAATTTATTTAAATTATATACTCATTGATTATAATGATAAACAACTTTTTTATTTTTTAAAACTATCAAATAAAGCAATTATGTGTACCAAAACTAATATTTTCAAGAAAATTTTAATTCCACACATGTTTTCTCCAAATTCTGAAGTAATCTCTAAAAATATATCAAACAGTTCTAAATAATAATTCAACTAACGAATATGATAATACATTTTTTTTAAAAAAATACTTAATTGAATTTTTTTAAATAATTATAATAATCAGATTTTTGAAAAATGTCAGATTCTTTAAAATTAGTACAAAGAGAGAGAGAGAGTTTGGGATGAGTTGGGACAGGTGGATTGATTACTACTATATAATCAAGCAAAGGACCCTTTCCTCTCCACATTTTTTGCTTGTCTAGTCAAAGAAGAAGAGTGAGAAAATAGAAATGGAGGGTGGCAAAGGAGGAGTTGTGAAGCACATTTTGCTAGCAAAGTTCAAAGATGGGATCCCACCTGAACAGATTGATCAACTCATTAAGCAGTATGCTAATCTTGTCAATCTTGTTGAACCCATGAAGGCTTTTCAATGGTACCCTCTTTCTTTTCTCTTCCATAAATCTTCAATCTTGCTCTTCTCATCAACCCCTTTTCTCCTGTTTTTCACCTTATCTATGGTTGATTTCTCATTTTAGTTGAGTATTAAAGCAACCCCTTTTGATGTGTGTGCTTGATTTTGAGGTTCAATGTTGACATTCTTATGGTTGGAATATATAAAAAGCAAAACTTTAAGATTCTTGATTTTCATTTATGTTTAAGATTTTGAGGTTCAGTGTTGATAGGAAACATAAAGATAGAAACTTTTAGCATTCTTGATTTTCATTAGTGTGGTAGTTTGGTAAGTTGAATTGGGGGTTCAGAAACAAAATTTCTACCTTTGGGGTAAGCTCTGCTTATAGTTACTCTCCTCAGACATCACTTTGTGAGATTACATTGAATATGCTTATCATTTGGTAAGTTAAAAGGGTTAATGTGATAAAGTGAAAGAATATTCAGGATCTTGTTGAACCCATGAAGGCTTTTCTATTGGCACCCTCTTTCTTTTCTCTTCCATAAATCTTCAATCTTGCTCAGCCCCTTTTTCCTTTTTCTCCTGCTTTTGACCTTATCTATGGTTGATTTCTAATTTTAGTTGAGTATTAAAGCAACCCCTTTTTATGTGTGAGCTTCATTTTGAGGTTCAATGTTGACAATCTTATGATTGGAAAACATAAAAAGCAAAACTTTAAGATTCTTGATTTTCATTAGTGCCCCTCTTTCTTGTCTCCTCCACAAATCTTCAATTTTTTCTATGCTGTCTGTTGAACCCCTTCCCCCCCCCCCCCCCAGTTTTTACCTTATCTGTGGATGGTTTGTCTCTTTTTACTTGAGTATTGGAGCAACCCCCTTTTTATATGTGTATCTGATTTTGAAGTTGACATTCTTGGTTCTTATGAATAGAAAGATAAAAATAAAAACTTTATCATTCTTGATTTTCATTAGTGTGTTATTTTGGTAAGTTGAGCTGAGGAGGTTTTATCCGAAACACTCTCTGTGCCCTTTTGGTAAGATCTGCGTATACTTACCCTCCTTAGATCTAACTCTGTAGGATTACATTGGGTATGTTCATACAAGTATTGAAAATGTAGTAATTTGTATGTCATTATTGCAGGGGTAAGGATGTGAGCATAGAAAATCTTCATCAAGGTTTCACTCATGTTTTCGAGTCTACGTTTGACAGTTTAGAAGGTGTTGCAGAGTATATAGCTCATCCTGTTCATGTTGAATATGCAAATACATTGCTTCCTCAGCTGGAGAAATTCCTTATCGTCGACTACAAACCACAGTAACTCAGTCCCTAAACTGAATTCTCAAATTGATGCACTTATAGTAATCGATATATCTGTTTTTACTTGAAATTCAATAAGAACACAAACTTTTCTGAAGTGTGTGTTTTGCTTGTTTACTATTACTGTATTCATTTTATAGACGCTAATGCGAGTTAGTTTTGGTCAGCTTGTGCTGTTTTTAAACTCGAGGGAGAATGTTTTTCGTTCATCTCTTCCCAGGATGAATGAATGATGAACAACATGTTGTAAGTGTATCAATAAACTCAAATTTGTGTTTCCTTTACCTCCTTTTTTTAAACATTTTACTGAGCAAATTTATCGATTGTTATGTGACACAATATATTTTCATTGTGATAATGCATATTAACAGTTGAAAGACAAAAAGAACAAGGAAAAAAAATGGCCAATGAAGCATTGAACTTACATTTCTGTAGTTTTGATGTCAATGAGATTGGTCAATAACAAGAATATTAGCAAAGAATCATACAAAAATGATAGAATCCTTGAATGCCAAAAATAGATATGAGATGTAGTTGAATAGGATGATTACTATGACTATATCCATCGGTAAGTTTACGAGTTTTTGGTCAAAAATATTCTTTAAATTTACCCCAAAGTTAAATTACATCTTTAAAGTATTATAATTAGCAGAAAATATCCTCTAAATATTTAAAAGTGAACAATTTTTCATTCTTTTCTCATGTTAGATATCGTCAAAAAGCTAAGGAATTCTAAAAAATCATGAGCAATTTGCGTGACTATCAACAAAAGTTTTCCTGCTTAGTTTCATTACTTGCTTTAAAAAGTTCTTGAATTTTTTTTAAAAAAATCTTAGACATTAATACTTATGGAAACAAAAGAAAAACATTTGAAAGTTGTGAGAGTAGGTACATGATCTGCTCCTTTTCTAGTAACGGAAAGAAACTAGAGCTTAATTATCTTACCTTTTTCATAGCAAAAATGTAATTTGAATCAATAAATATTTGGGTCAATCTAATATTGAAGTAATCAAAATATTGATTATGTCTCGCATTTGAGTTTCATTCTATATTATTAGAAGCAAATTCTCCCCCAAATGTCGCTTCTAGCATATTCAATTGTAAAGGAAACATATCTTAATTAATAATATTTTTAATATCAAATTATAAGAAAATAAATTTAAAAACAGTCTAATTAAAAGATTTTGTATAATGCTAAACTCAATTATCAAAAAAGTCCACGATAGCATTTTTGACGTATCTAAGAATAATAATTCGAAAGGGATGACTTTATTTTTGTGGATCTGTTAGTAGAAGAGTGAAAAAATTTTCACTTTTAAATACATGCTAAGAATGATACTTTAGATTTGGGGTATACTTTTTAAGTCCAAAAACTCCCAAGTTTACCAAAGAAAACGATTTATATGATATATGCATGACTTACACAACCTTTGCCAGTATCACAGTCATGCAGCGCTCGAGGGCGAATACGATTAAGAGAGAAGTACAAAAACATACTAAATGAAATTCCACGAGCAAAGTCCAAAAAATGCAGTACAGAGACCTTACCGTTACCTCGTAGAGGAGAAGTTTGAAAGCAAAGACTCATAAATTCCAATGAAGCAAAATCTTTAAATGCTGATCAAAGATGGGGTGGGGCTAAAAGAAAAGTCAATGAAACTCACCATTGATGGCATTTAAACTCGACATGCAACTTGTATCTTTATTACAGTAATGAATATGCAGAAGAGAAACATGAACTTTGAGGTGGTTTTGAGTGTACCCAATTAAGAGAGGAGAGGGGGAAGAAACTTGTGTTCCAGATATACTTGATATGGCAATTAGAAAATCTGCTTCAAGTATTTGAGATACTCGAAGGAAAATAAAAAACAATGATATGACTGACGCTACCTCTACATGTGAATGGGCTTGTCATAAGTGGCCATGGCAGCTTCTTTCAGAGCCTCGCTCATTGTAGGATGTGCGTGGCATGTACGAGCAATGTCTTCACTCGATGCTCCATAATTCAAAGCCAGGACTGCTTCGTGAATAAGCTCACCTGCATTGGATGACATAATATGGACGCCCAAGATTTTGTCGGTTCCCTTCTCAGCAATTACCTTTACAATACCTTCAGCATCGTCAATTGCCTTGGCCCTACTGTTTGCAAGGAATGGAAATTTGCCTACGCGATAATCAACTCCAAGGGCCTTAACCTGTTCTTCAGTTTTCCCAACGGAAGCCACCTCTGGGTGAGTGTAGCAAACACCAGGAACCAAATCGTAGTCCACATGACCTTCCTTGCCTGCAATAAATTCCACACAAGCAACACCATCCTCCTCTGCCTTGTGAGCAAGCATTGGCCCCGGAATGACATCACCAATTGCATATACCCCTGGGACATTACTGGCAAAACGTTCATTGACCAAGATCCTACCAGCCTTGTCAGTTTCAACACCTATCTTGTCCAGTCCAAGTCCTGAAGTGAAGGGAACCCTACCAGCAGAAACAAGAACAACATCAGCCTCAAGAGTAGTCTGCTCACCACCCGCGGCAGGTTCAAGGGTCAACTTCACACTATCGCCAACAGTGTCAACTGACACCACCTTAGTTTTAAGCATGAACTTCATCTTTTGCTTCTCAAGAGAACGTTGGAATTGCTTGCGAACTTCACCATCCATGGTTGGAACAATATCAGATGCAAATTCAACAACAGTCACCTCTGAGCCAAGGCGGCCCCAGACAGATCCCATTTCGAGGCCTATGTAGCCAGCACCAATAACAACCAGTTTTTTAGGGATTTCAGTTAAAGCTAAAGCTCCAGTAGATGATACAATTCTCTTTTCATCAATGGTTAACCCAGGTAGACTTTTGACATCAGAACCAGTCGCAATTATGATATTCTTCCCCTTAACAATAGTATTACCACCTTCCACGGTGTCAACAGAAACTTCGGAAGGGGAGAGGAATTTACCATAGCCCTTAACATAGTTCACTTTGTTCTTCTTAAATAGACCCTCAATACCCCGTGTTAGACCAGCCACAGCCTTATCTTTCTGGGCCATCATAGCAGGAAGATCTACCTCAACAGAAGAGAACTTCACACCATGACTAGCAAAAGAATGTTGAGCTTCATGATACATGTGAGAGGAATGAAGAAGTGCCTACACACAAAAAGCAGAAACATTAAACATGAAGAATCAGACCTCAAAAGCTGACTACAGAGCTCCAAGCACAATCATCAACAAGAAAGATGGGCATAAACCTGTGCACTACTCTGCCAAGTATATTTGAAGGGCACCATTGTTAATTTTACTATGCCGAAGAATAAACTTAAGTTCATGATGTCACATAAACAGAATGCCAGTTAGCAAATTTCTAGAGCAGAAATCTATAGCTGAGGGTTATTACAAGATAAGTGGAGGTCAAAAGAACATATGCACCCTATGCCCTATGGACAGCATTGGGTAAGGTAGGCACTAGGTTAGATACCAACGAAAATGGCCTCTCAGTGAAGTTACGTCTTGATTCCAACAAGAGAACCCTCAGGCATGTCACATTTTAAGGGCATGAAACCAAGTCAGCCATATACGTTCAGCTTATCTTCTCTTCTTGTTTATATTCCACAAATATATCGAAACTAACTAAGACCGAAATATTCTGAGGACTCCTCAGACAAAATAAAATTCATGCAATTGTCAGTAAAGTTGTTTTCTTTTTCAAATCCAAAAAGCTCTTTACTTAGAATATGTCGTCGATTCAGCATTAGATTAAGGGGGTAAAATCGCCATCTTTACAATTTACAATAAGCGGTAAAATTATTTATCAATATGAGTATCCTATATCAATATAATATATTTTTTTAAAACCACCTCTATTTTAACATAGAATAGGGAAAGTTGGGAATATATACTTCAATGCAAATTATAACGTAAGAATAAATATATACCTTGCTAAGAAGCCAAACCAAGGAAAAAATGCACAACCATGAGAAAAGTATTTAACCTTCAGAACTTTTGACGAAAAAAATAGAACAAAGGAAAACCCACTAAATATTCGCAAGAAAACTTTCATCATGATTAAAATCTATATCAAGATAGAACGCCTCATTTAAGGGTGGAAGATTGAGCCATCCAGATCTTTTTGTCTTTAACTAGCTTAGGTAAAATTATTGAAAGGAGAACCAATAAATGTTAAAGTTCAACTTCAGGAAAAAAGGAAGAAGCTGAAGCACAAAAAAAAAGAAAAGGAAACAGGTTCCTAATTGTATATGGAAGATACAAGTCAACTGTCAATTGGAACCACAACTGACCACCATCACTCAGCAACTAAAAGAATGTGACTGTTGATTATGCCAGATGTCTGTACATATATATGTAAGTCATAGATTAACTCATCAATTGGAAATTAGAATGTCTACGATCTCCTTCCAGTAGTTTCATATAACTCAAAAATTAGGTCTATATTTTATTTTACTTAGAGAAAGCACCTTCTATTTTATTTGTCACTTTGGATAAAATTACTCAATTCTAATTCGAAATTTCGAATAGAAAAAAATTAAAAAAGAACATATCATTCATTATATAGCATATATCTGCTATTGAAATCAGCAGAGACGATTGTAATTTCCTTCATCTTTTATCATCCAAAAAAAACATAATCAACTTCACAAGTCACAGCTGGATAGTCAGAAATTGCATACTCCCTAATCCTATTTTATGTGACACTCTTTCCTTTTTAATCTGTCCCAAAAAGAATGTCACCTTACTATATGATTAGAAACAATATAACTTTAAAATCCCCCCTTTTCCCTCAATGAAATGATTTATAGCCACATAAATATCTAAGGGTTGTTTTAGACAACAAGTTTCAAAAGTCTTCGTTTATTTCTTAAATACCGTGTGAAGTCAAATGGTACTAGTCATTTATGCAGCTGTCAATGGATTCTGTGATCGAATGCCACTAGACAGAATTTCTCAATATGAGAGAGCCATTGCAAATAGTGTCAAACCAGAATTACTACAATCCTTTTTAGAAAGGGTCATGAGGCTCAGGTTTAATTCAAGAATAGCCAACAACCACATAAAATGGGACGTAAGGAGTACTGTTTTTTGGTCTTTCCTATTTTTCCTTTTTCTGCAAGGGTGTTGATACTTGATTTGAAGTGTCAACATAGCAAATGAAAGTTGTATGTGTGATACTTCCAATAATCCTAAAGCTAATCCTATAAAAATTATTAGAAGCAAATGAGAGATAATAAGAGATGAATAACTAAACAAGATTTTAGCATGCAATCAGGTTGAAAAATAAAAGATGTTGATGACAACTTCTCTTAATGCAAAAAATTTGTATACATGGATTAAACATAACAACCAAAAAGTTTTAGTACTACCGCAAAATTAACACACATTATTCCTTTAAATAATACCGGTCACAAACCAAGACTACATATTTAAGAATTGCTTAAAAGTGTATTCTTATGTTAACTACATCCCTCTTTGGAATTTCAGAGCAACTTCAGAATCTTTTAGAGAAGTGTGTTTGGTGTGACGACGGTCACTTGTCAAAAATTCTGTTTCCTGGTATTTGGTTACCAAAAAATAAAGGAATACATTTCCATCAAAGAAATACATTTCCATCAAAGGGTGGAAAATGAACCTCATGGCTCATTTATAGGTTTGAAGTTCATTGTCACTATCTTAATTTTTTAACTTCATCCTACTTGCTCCCAACTAATACTAAAAAGACATTATTACTATTAATCTTCAAAAAAAAAAAAAAAGATAAATCGTCATAACACTCCAATTTGCGAACATAATTACTAATCTTAGCACATATTTTTCCAGAAAATTTCAGTCACTAACTGAAATGCTGAAAAAGAACATCTTCTATGGAAGATCATTTTCCATCACACCAAACACAAAATTTTCAATTTTCTCACAGAACTCACATTACAGAATAACCTACTATAGATTTATTTGAACTCTAAAATATAAAACTGATATCTGTCAACCGTCTCTCAAATCAAAATCATCATAAAGTTAACCAAATGAACACCACAGATAACGCAATTTTTTAGCTCAATACTCAATAGCAGAATACTCTTAATCAACATAATCGTCACATACTATCGCATAATAAACAGTAGTACAATAGCAAAAATCACTAGATCTATGAAGATGCGAAACTTTGTTAAATCTAAAAAAAAAAAATCACCTTAGAAGGAATACAGCCAACATTGAGACAAGTACCGCCAAGAGTACCACGCTTCTCAATACAGGTAGTTTTGAGACCTAACTGCGCCGCTTTGATCGCCGCCACATATCCGCCAGGTCCACCACCAATAACAACGACGTCGTTCTCATCGGATCCCGAAGCGAAACCTCTGCTAAGAGAAAATGAATACTTGAGATATCTAGAAGATAAAATTGTTGAAGCCTTTCGTCTAGCTAAGCTCCCAATCGCCATTTTTTCCGGCTTCAATTTTCACCTCTGAAAAAATTGAACAATTTTTCGCTGAGTTTTTCTTATTATATATTTATAGAAAAATATAATGTATAGTGGCGGAGGTGTGCTGATTTATTATTTCATTTATTAATGTGGTGGCGTTTATTTATTTTTATATTAATATAAAAAAAAAAAGGATCGCGTAGAGTTTATGCGGTTTTAATTTTATTTTTATTATTACGAGTGATAAAAAAATGACAAAAATAAAAATAAATAATTTGTAATAATACATGGAAAATTAAAATAATATAAGAGTAATCATCTATTATTCAATTTTTAAAAAAAGTGTTTGTAAATTAAATTTGTGATTATCTTTAATAAGGTGAATTATAGTAACAAATAGCAACAAGTTTTTAAATCTTATTCTTTTAACACTATGCTAGTCAAAGAAGGAAGCACAAAATAATATTTTCGAATTTTTTTTTCAAACGAACCTCTGTAATAGTAAGAGAAAAATATAACAAGAGTGTTTTTTTTATTGATAAAGAAATTCACAAACGTATAATAATTTGTAAATTTTTTTGGATAAGTAAATTACAGTTAACCATTCATGCGTGATAAAATATGAAGGAAATCTTAAATCAGAAAATTATATTTTGACAGATTATTTATTTAACCAACTCGACCATTATTGAAGCTTTTACAACTATAAAATCGTAATTCATATAACTTATTTTGTCTTGTAAAATTGACATTGTATCAATTTACATACACTTCAATTATTTCATTAAATATACACTAAATATTAGTATTTCACTAATCAAAATTTAGGCATAGAATAAAAATGACATAGTTTTTTGTTTGTCTTGGTTCAAATTTTGAACAATAATGTAAAAGAGTTATATCCATTTCATTGTTTATCTAAAGCTAATTTTACTATGAAAAAATGATTATAATTTTTTTTTTTTAAGGAAAACACCAAAAGATAAAGAGATAAGAAAAGATTTGAGATATTTAGCATAAGTTAGGAAATATAGTAATAATAATAAAATAAATAGCCTTTGCCACAAGAAAAATAATGTCCTCACAAACCCTACCTCTTATTTAACCTTCATTCTTGGCCCAAAATAGATTACAAAGCCTCCCCAATCTAGATGAGGTTAGCCCACTCTTCTTCACAATTGAAAGCCACTCATTAAGTGTGTTTTAAAAAAAACAAGCAGCTAAACATTAAGCCACATAAATTTGACAATTAAGTCGCTTACGCTCTTCAAAATTATTATCATGTGCTTGTTAAATCCTTCAAACTCAAGTTAATTTCGTGCCAGTAATTCAATATGAATAATGAACACTTGGGTCTACGAGTGCAATTAATTTCAGAAATAACACAACATATCACACCACAAGTTGTATCTTTTTCATTAAAAAAAGTTGACAGCACCTACAATGCAATAGCCTTACAAAACTGTTGGCTGCTTTTTCTCACTACCCTGAAGCAGCCTCAAACAGACATGAAACCAGAAATAAAACAATTCTTTATACACATTGTAGGAAAAATTATATTAGTAATGGTCATGAAATAATGCTAGTTTACACTCAATTGCTTCCTAACAAACTTTGCAGCTTCTTCCTTGCGTCCTCGGACAAATTGCAACACCTGAATCTTGGTCTCTGTGATGGAACGGAAGTTCGGTGATCAGGTGAAGTAAAGCATACAACAATTGCAGTGAGATTGTCGTCTGTGTCTTTACATAAAGCTTGATTCACAAGTTCTCTGGCAGACTGCTGTGGGTCATTGTGCAGCCTAAGCTCATGGCGAACGACATTCACTGCATCTTGGTTAGACATCACATCCCAGATGCCATCGCAACCAAGTATCATGAACTCATCATCCTCGGTCAACAACAATTGCTGAACTTCTGGTTCTGCAGTAAGAGGAGATGCAGACCCAAATGGAAGCTTCATATACCAATCTCCAAGGGCTCGAGTAATAGCAAGATCACCATTTAAGCAACCATATTCAATAATACCGCCCAATTTCTCAACTCTTTGTCGTTCCGCCAGACAAGTTGGCCTGTGATCTTGAGACAACTGAACTGCAACACCTTTCCTACAAAGAACAGCACGACAGTCGCCAGCATTAGCAATAACCAGATGTCTTCCTAGGACCAGCGCAGTTATTGCTGTTGTCCCACAATAAGCATCAACACTACATTCATCAGCTAAGGCCTGGTCAGCAATTAAAAATGCTCTAAAATGGGAACTCTCCAATTCTTCCAAGAATGCTTGATCAACAATAGATGTTTGCGGCAAATTAGCATCTTCAAAGAAAAATCTCATTGCATTAGTCCTGACATAAGCAGCTGCATCAGAACCTCCATGACCATCAAACACAGCATAGAAGGCACCTGGAAGAGGCCAATTGTATAGAGATCCTAACTGAGCTGAAAGATCATCAACACGAATATGCTCATCTTCATTGGATCTACGAGGTCCAATATCAGTATAGCTACCCGAACGAATAGCTGGGATAACATTACTGCTTCTAGCTGAATCAATTATAGTTGTCTGAGTATTAGTTGAGCATCTCACACCCTGCTAATTGCAAAATAAATGAGGTCAGATCAAACCACGGGTACATTGCATTTCAACCACATATTCATACAACCAGTATCAACAATCATTAAGAAAACAAAACTTATTCAATCATAACCACAGTCCACAAAAGAAATGAGATAGTATAGTCAAATAACTCAACAAATCAACAAGCAACAGCAAAAACCCAAATAAGAGTTTGAAAGTTAAAATCCATTTCTTTAGAAATGGAAAAATCATTCAACTAAATCCCGCTTAGTTCACTCAGATATATGAGTCCTCAGAGAAGTATTCTTAGTTACACTTTTCTGACACAGACCCTAAACTTGGCAGACCCTCATTCTTTCTACTTGGACCTGTTATACTTGTGCAAAGTTTACATACGTACAATCCCAGAATCGAACAACAACAACAACATACACAATAAAATCCCACAAGTAGAGTCTGAGAAGGAAGGATGCGGGATTCCCTGTTGATGTAAGGAATAAAGGCAACTAGTCTATCCGGAAACTGCTGCTAAGATCCAAGGTTACATAGATTTCTATCTTTTAGTGTGGGGGATTAGCAGAGTGTATGCAGACGTTACCACTACGTTAAGGCTGTTTTCGAAAAAGCCCCTCACTCAATACCAGAATTGAAAACAACTCAAAATAGCAGAATTGAGTTTTTAAAACCCTTATTCATTGCAATAATATCTATCAGATGAACTTTTTTTCAACTCCTAACCCTAAATAATACTATATCAGAACCTCTAGGCAGATCCAATTCTTCACAGCAAACAAAATACACAAAGTAAAACAAGGTGCTACAGAAAATAATTTCCCTGAAAAGGAGATAACCTAGATTCAGCTGGAGTAACAACTTTGAGATCCCCTATTCGAATCACAAATCACAAAATTAGGTAAATTCTTCAAAACACACAAAATTGCGCACAAACAAACTCAAAGAGTTACCAAATACAGAAGGAAGACAAAACGGGAAATCAAATCTGAAACTTTACCGAGTCAGACAGAGAAATATCAACAGAAACCAAATCAGCCGAGCGAAATTCACGAGATTTTGTAAGAGAAGAAGACGTAGCAGTAGCCGAAACATCAAAGAAGTCCAAATCCTCATCCCCGACCACCGGCGCCGCCGTTGAAACTCCGATGTACTCAACGGAAACATTCGGTTGACACAAAATCTCCGCATCTACTACCACCATCTTCGCCGCCGCCGTCGAATTCTTCACAATCATCAAATGAGTTTAATCCAAAATTGAACAATAATTTGGATTACGAGAGATTTTATGTATAAAATTTGTTTGTTAAAAACAGATTAGGGTTTAATTAATCGCTGAAATAGAAGCAAAAGCAAGTTGGGTTCTTGAAGAAATTTATAGATTAAGAGTCGGCTTAGTATTTACTCGGATTAAATAGGAGTAACGCGTCACGCAAAATATCGAGTATTCACATACACAAAAATTTATAAAAAGAAAATAATTTATATTTAACTAATTTATTTTATTTATATTTATAAATATAAAATATAACAACATAATTTATAATCTCTAATAAATTTTTAAAATGACAAAAAACGATAAAATTTAACTTGATAATATATTAATTTCTTATTATACACGAAAGGTTGATTGACTTTTTAAGTAGGAAAATTTTAAAAATTAAATTTAATGCTATTATTACGAGAGATCTTATTTTTTTAAAAATCTAATTAAGAGGTGGAAAGGAAAGGAATAATCTTAAATAAGATAATGGGGTTATTTTTGCTAATTAATATGTTCATATTGGATTCCTAATCTAAAAGGCATTTTAATTTATTTTTATTCTTTATTTAGGTACCTAATCCACTAATAGAGAATAATTACAAGTATGGTAATGTTATTAAAAATGTACTCGATTTGCTAGTAGAATTTTATCACTTAATCATGATTAGTCAAAAAGTATTTGTATCACAATCAATATATATACGTTGTATCAGTAACATCAGTGATCTAAGTTATTTTGAAATTTCAATTGTTTGACGTATTTTCTACTTAATCAGTAATCGCTCATGCGTAAAAATGACAAATATACAAATTGATTCAAATATAAACATAACGAAAACGAATTTAACAAAAATAAAGTAATATATGATATGTTCATATTAAACCAAACAAGTCACACCTATATTTTCCACTTCGTACGATAACCTTAATTAAGTATTGTTTTTATCATAACTAAAGGTAGATTATATCAAAATTATGTCTATTCATACAACTTGATATATTAAACTTTCATTAGGCATGACAATCAAAAAAGAATAGACTTATTATACTACATGATCTTACTCTATATTTTTACAACTCAAAAACATGACTTTCTAGTTAAATAACAATAACTTTATCAATTACGTTAAAATTCTCATTACGTGTTTATTCAATAATACAAACAAACTAAGTCACTTTCTT